TGGATGACTGCGGATCGATTGTGTATCCGTGTACTGTGGAGGCCGATGGCATCTTCACTACTATCGCATACACACGGGCACATCAAATGACAGATTTTTATCGGGAGTAAACGATGAAACCATAGGACCACATTCGAGAGATCGTGTATTCCTTGACAGTGAGTGCAGTTGTCCAAGAGTTGAACGGACTATTACTTCGGGACTAGTCCACGAGAGGTGGGGAAAACTTCGGCAGTAGTTTTAGGAGCCCCGGTACGTGTGCTAAAAGAGAGGGGAGACTGGGTTATATTGACGAAGTTCACAAAAAGGCTAGACTTAAATGGGAACAGAAGCAAGAAATACAGATAAATGTACTTGTGGAATGCACCTGGATTGACAGGTAGATTAATCAAATCACCCCACATTTATTTGACAACTAATTCGTTGTGAACTAACTGATAAAACATTTTTAATATCGAGGTGAAACTAATACGTGTAAAACAACATCCGTCATTTTCCGTGCCCGTAAACTGAATACGGAAGAGGTGCACTTTACAGATTCGCACAGGCCACAAACACATTCAGTTCACCGTTTGCACCTTTGAAGCACTTAACACGGAAAAAAGACTCGGTACTGACAAATGTGGTTTCAAAATCAATCGAGAGCTTTGGTTTATTTCATTTCATATCTCATCGGACATGATACGCAAATCCCTATGACGGAGGACTTCTAAGAGCAGGGAAAACTAATTCTATTAATTTGAATTGACCATCCTTCAGCTTCCGTTTTCAAATCAGGGAACTACTCACAGATAATTGTGACTGAAATATGAATCAAAATAAATTTAGTCGGAAATCTGGCTTACGAAGCTTGATTGAAATAGTCTCAACGGAAATCGTGCGTATTCTATTGTTTCTATAAGGCATAGACCAGCCTTAACGGATAGTCTTTGGCTAGCTAAGAACTCTGATCGTGAATTCTTTAGAAAGTAAAGATTTGCGATCTAGGCCATCTGATAGTGTCGCTTCTACATACTGGAGCCTGAACTGCGCTATCATCAAGAATGGGTCTGGGAACTGATATCTCCATGATCAAAAATCGATCGCGTTACGCGAAAGGAACACGATGATCTAATATAGCCAAAGGACATGAATTAATCCTTATCCTTGTGTGTCATACAAATCCTTTGTTTGTCAGTCACAACCACCATTCGTGTTATCTGGTCTGATTTATTTAACCTCCAACCATTATTCCGTATTGATGAACCACTTATAAACGTGAGTTTATTGGCCAAACAATGAAATACTAGTAGAAAAATAGTTTTTTCCCAGTCTTGTATTTTGATTTTGACTATGAACTTAGTTCGTAATCTGAAATCGTGGGTTTTGCTGTTCAAAAGACACTTGGATGCGGATTTGTTTTGTGGAACTTTTGATGCACCTAGTTGAACTACTCATGAGTAGTAAGAGAATGTACAATGAAATAAATTACCTTTTCTCTATGGATGAAGGTCAGTATGCTTACAGGCAACATAAGAAACAATAAAAAGCAATAGCCTTATCAGCCAGCTTAGGTAACTCCTGGATTAAACTGAGTCTGCAGTAGGTTTCACAAAGAAAAGTAACCACAGTCTTGTGGATTATTGCGATGCTTAGAAAAAGAATAATGAATATATATATATACAGAGAGAGTCAAGTCAAGGAATAGCTTTATACACCTCGAGAAGTGGATATTCAACAACCATATAACCACAGTAGGTCAACAAAAAGTGGAAAAAACAATATAATACAGCGATTAAATGACGTGAAAAAGGACAGCAACATCAAAAACCAATGGCATGATTGATTTAGCACTTTGCGCAGATTTCCTGAAACGATTTCATGGTTTGTTAGAAATCTGGCGAGATAAGGGACAATAGACCGCATGTAAGCTGCAGTGCGTGTCTTTATAAGTTTGTGAATGGAACGGGTGGATGAGTGAGAAAGGCACTGATGGGCGGAATAAAGAGGATGGGAAATATAAGATAAAATCTTGTTGGAGAATGTTTTACAGGACTTGATGTGATGTGTCACCACATACTGTACCAGATGTTCCCGTGGTATGAGACTACAAACTGACAGAAATTTGAGGGATCGGGAAATGAGTTTGAGGTCCTTGTTAAAAAGATCAGGGAAGATAACAAGGGACGCATAAAGCCAGTGAGGCAAAACGCACGCGAAAACAAAACGCCTTTTGAGATGTTTTGGAATGGAAAGTGATTTAAGACGTAAAACATAAAACGTGAGCCTCCTGGTCTTCAAAAAATGTCATTAACGTGCTCGGACCAGGTGAAGTTACAGTTGAAAATAACGCCAAGGTATTTGACAAACGGTTGCCGTTCCAGCTGGTCACTGAGGATAGATAAAGGCGGGCTGATATTTGATAATTCATCATACTTTCGCCGTTTCAAAAAGGGAAAAATTACGTCATTACATTTTTGGGGGTTCGTGCGGAGGTTCCTTTGTTTAGACCACTCAACTATTTCCAACACGTCTTCTTGTAGAGTGGTTTGAAATGATAAGTTGGGGTGGGCAGTCGGAATATTATATCGTCTGCATACTTAACGAGAAGAGAAGAATTGCTCACAGACATAGAGGAAATGTAAGCAGAAAATAGAAAGGGGAATAAAATAGCGCCTTGTAGTACGCCTCTTGAGGAGAGCAGCAGTTAAGATGTACGACCTTTGAAGCGTGTGAACTGCTAACGGTTGGAGAAATAGTTGGCCAGGAGTTCAATCATAGAAGGTTGAACGATATATATATATATATATATATATATATATATATATTTAAAACCGCTGACGTAACCTCCGTTCATTCACTCATTCACCCTTCCACCATTAAACTCCCTCCTACATCCTCCACACGCACATCAATTACTACAATTGCATCAATTCTTCATAACCTATGATTGTCTTTGCAGATGTGTCTCCTATCAAAAGATGTTCAATCTGTTCTGAGTTGTGCTGTATTTAGCTAACTAATATAGCACCAAAAATAAGCTTATTTGGTATTTTGTGTTCTCAAATCTTACTCTGTTAAAACTAAAATCAAACGCAAAAGCCAAAGTGACAGTGTTGTGTTTGGGTCGTTCCACTCGACTCCACAATCGCGAGACAGTGCGTGTGAACCTCTTGCCTTTCCGGTGTCGAATTCGGTCATTAAAGGCTCGTTCATTATCCACTTGTTGACTGTATTACATCAACGATGGAAATTTCTTGTGACAAAGTACACTTATTGGGAATCCTCAACCACGTTTGCCAATTTTGTGGCCCCGGTAGGGCTCAAAATGCGAGTTTCGGGTTGGGTATTGGAAGCCCGAGTTACATGAATAAAACAGAGAGATTATACAGTGCCTCGGGACTGCAAAATCCACCATAAATCAATATAACCATTCGATCAAGGTGTTGGTTGGTTCAGAGTTATGGATTTCGCCTTCCAACCCAAAGTTGCACTGTCCGAGTTCCATCTAGGGCAGCAAAATGGTAAGCATTATTTATGAGTCTAAAAACGCCATATCCATCCAATACTCTTTGCCGGATTTCTTATGGCATTTCCTTCGCACATGTTTGCAATGTAATGTGTACATGACCATTGAATAACTCTCTCCCGGGTGCAAATCATGGTGTATTAGTAGTTTTATCAGTCATTTTCCGTTTATCGGTAATGCAGTATCACGGGCTGTGTATCACCAGACATGATTGTACAAATCGGACAGAACTCTAAACGTCAATGGGTGTGAGGAGATATAGACAAAAGGGTAGGGCTCCGACAAACGTTTTCTTGTGGCTTCCCTTGGGAATCGGACTACCAGTTGTCACAATTATGACACTCAGTTCTTTCGCAGTTGGTGGATCGAAATAAATGAGCGTTTGATGAAAAACGGACACTAGTTCAATCGAGTCACGTTTGCCACACACACACACAGATATATGTTTTTACCAACACTTACCGTCTGTCTTTCCTTTTGGTTTTGACCGGGCGTGATTTGAAGATGGAAGGACTGGGAAAGGGAATGGAGATAAATTGTCAATGAACAGCGCACACAGACGCGGGTCAGATGTGTAAGCTATCAAAAATTCGGTACCACACCAGTTCAGATTTTGTGGTCGCAATTCGACGGATAAACACAGGAGTCAAGGTATAAATATCTTTTAAATTTGTAAATTATGTGCTTCTTAGTTGAGCATCGAAAAAAAGTCAGCCAATAAGCACCTTGAAAGGTAGACTGATAGTACTTTCCGCATGAAAGTATTCAGCGACAGAGCCATACTTTTCGGAGTATGACAATTTGGGATACATACTATCAATTTAATTCAATCGCATCGTAGAGGGAACTGTGCAGCACACTTGATCAGTGTGGTCTAAATAACAGTAATAATTTCCTCTGATTTATTCGACAAACAATACTTGTGCAGTCAAAATTCAGGAAGGGAAACGAGACCTATGGATAACTGCCAACTCGTAAGGGTAATGTCCACGGGATTCAAGTACACGAACATGAACCGACGGCTCAAACCGCTCGATCACCGCCGCCATCACCTGACATGTGTTTCAAGGAGGGTAGTAATAAGAATGCCTAGGAAGCAGGGTTAAAACAGAATCACGGCTTATTTTGCATGGTTGAGATTGTCATAAGTCAATACCCGAATACTGCTGTCACAAGCATAGCATCGATTCCCAGGTAATTTCATTTAGAAACAACATAGAGAATATCAACCAATTTTCAATACGTCAATTAATTTAAAATAGACTAATAACTAAATCCTATTTCATCACAATTTTTCCAATTAGGAATCGTTAATTCAACTAACCTCGAAATGTTAATCATTTTACGAAACTTTGGAATGGTTCATACAGAACCATAGTGTACATGGCGTTTCCGGTAATAACTATCACAGCTGTCAGAAGTCTGGTGTCACAAAAGCCTGTAAAACAGAGGCTATTTAATATCAAGATCTGTCGGCTCTTTTTAGCAGTACTCACCTTCCATCCAGTTCCAAATCTTCCTCGTCTTGCAATGCGGCTTCCAGCGCAGCCACAACTTGTGGTGCCAGTTGCGGTGGTTCATAGTCTCGAGTGGTTCGACCGGGTAAATCTAAATCCAACGTCAGCAATTGTTCACCACGAAATCGCGGATTCGGTCCCAATTTAGCGGCCATTCGAGCAAACTGACACACCGGTCGACGTCCACCCAATGCTGGTCGTAACGGTGGATCAAGGCGACAGAATGAACTGGAGGAGTGAAATGTGTGGTGATAATTTCTAAGTGTACACACGTTTATTCATTGAAAACTAAACAATCTCGGTTAGAACAACTGACCAGGAGTAGTTATTTCATTCGATCAGCTCTAACAAAAGGCGAATATCATATGTAGACTAGATTTTATTTTGGTTTACTTTGAACGGATTAACCCTCCGACTTACTCAGTCAATCTAGTCAAACATATGCAATCGGAAAGCACCATTGACTCCGGTTTGGAGTAGTAATTCATGCCCACCAGACCATTCGGAATTTGAAGCTCGAATCTATCGTACCATAGACCAACCCGCTCATATCGGGGTTGACCATAATGACTAAGTTGCGCTTGTGTCTAAATCCGATTCACTCACGACCAGTCTGTCGCTCTGCTTGACAGTAATTAATGTAGGCTTACTTCAGGTTCTCTGAAATCTATTCGACACTTTTCAAGAAGAGCTGCATTTAGGCTGTCTTCAAAAGACCCAAAACAAAATATGAATAAGTAAAATGCGTTCTATCAAATTATTTTTCTGCTGCAGCCACACTCGAAACTTTGTTCAATTCTCTATCATCCAGGGCAAAATGGTGAACAATCAAGTTAAGTGCATAATCGCACCATATATCTGAAGGGCATATGTGAAATTGTAACAACAACACTGACAACACAGAGGGATTACTATAAGGTAAGATCAGAAAACTTGCCACCAAGGGAAAATCGACATCGCAATCCTTGCATAAAAGCAAGATAATTTATCATGCCAGATTTACTACAGCTTGAAAAAAGAATGAGACAACCCTGACAAACCCCGCTTCCCATGGTGGACTCCTACGATAAAAAGCTATAGGCTCAAAGTTGGCCGTAGCTATTCGTAGGCAGGGAGTGTATCAGAGAAATAAGCATCCAGGGTATAGCCTTCAAGGATAGACAGCACTGGACAAGAACGAACGATAAACAAACTCTTTCGGTGCCAAAGCTTATCGTTGACGTTGCAAATCACCTCACTTTCTGAGATACAACACTTTCAGAAGTGGAGTTTCGAAAGTGCATAACGAGCTGGTCCAGCCGCGCTTTACTGCTGATCGAAATGGAGGGCCAATCACATCGTATGGATTTTCATCAGATTTCATTCTACTTCATACAGAGTAAACCAGTCATAATTTCTGGCCAGATACATAGTAAGTGGGGAAAATGTGAAACAAATAGAATCGGATTATACCGTTACACGGATATATCCTATGAGTGTGATCAACAATCAAAAACAACGATAATAGATATTTTTTCCTCTGGCAGCTTACGAAAGCAGAACAAATGTTCACATATTTTTCCTGCTTTAAAAGAGACTATCATCACGGTTTATCCGTAGAATACAATGCGATTTAAGCTCAAGCACGATAGATTGTCCATCAAGTAACTATAGTCATCGGTGCATCTTACGCAATCAACCGATCTATTTCGAATTGCATACCGCACTACTCACAAGTAGTCTTGTTGCGTGATACGAATGGCGACCGTCTCCTAGTTCAATTTTTTAATGGCTTTACTTCTTTTTTGTTTATTGAGTGGTCAAAACTTGCTCCGATGGTTGAACTTCGAGCGATATTTTAATATGGTTATCCAACTTCTGGACTTTCTCAGAAGAATAGTACCCGCAACTTAGATTAGCCATGTGTTGGCATAATGTCATCATTACATAAACTTTTTCCATTCCGAATTGCCCGGATGGTGCACCGCACCATAACTGATTCTGCATCAACGATTAAGCAGCATAGAATTCACAAATTACCCTACTGTGCGAGTCCGACAATCAAGGGACCTATCGAGTTCATTCATGAATCGGTCGGGTGTTTCAACCACAAAAAGAGACATTATACATGTCCAGCAAGAACCCTCATCACATCTCTGGACTACAGGTCAAAATATCATCATCACAAACAATACGAACCAGTGATCTAAAAAAATCTCCAGTCAGGTTGAAGGACTCCGAGTTGTGCAAATCGCGGGAAATAATCCAAACAGATCGCAAAGCGGATCAGAGGGAATTTAATTGTTTCACATCACGGGTGATAGGGAAAAGACGACATGAAACGACATGAAGCAATCGCACGGTATACAAATGTTCAGTCAACTTTCAGGAAGAGGATACGGTCATAAAAGGTCTACTTGGGAAAATCCAGAAATGGGGAAGATAGGTTGCAGTGGCAAGATCGTATGAACTTACTCTGATTCTTCACCTGAGGTATCGTCACCTTTTGGTGTGAAAAGTGGTCTAAGATGCCAGACCTCCGATTCTTCATCGAAATACGCTCGTTGTTCTAATTTTGAGCGTTCTTCAGGAGGAACAAAGTTCTCGAGAATCAACATTCGTAATTTGATTTCCCTAGTCAGTTCTTCTTGTACACGTTCATGCTCTTGACGTTCGCGGATTCCGTCCTCCTGAGCCTCGTTAACTTCTTGTTTAGCCTCCTAAGAAGGATTTTAAAAAACTTGAAAGCTGGATTCAAATTATCGCATTGTTGTGAACGATAAACATGATTTAAAAGAATTTAAAAGAAAGAGTTTGATCTCATAGTGAATTAACCTACTGGTTCGTACCTGGAGCTTTTCAAACAGTTTTCTTAGACGTCGAGTGTTAACTTCAACTTCCTGTTTGAGTGAAGTAAATCCCTCTTGTAAATTGGCCACACTGCCTTCCTCTTCACGCATTCGAGCCACAATTTCTCTCTCTCGTTTTCTTTGCTCGGCCATTTGAGAGCGTTGCTGTGCGAGAGTGGCTTCTTGCATTCGTGTATGTTCGACAATGGATTGATCACCACGGAGAAGCTTACTCTCCATTGCACGGAGTTTTGATTCCAGTTGTTGCGTCTGTGCCTGTTCTTCTTGCAATCGGTTCTCTTTTAACTGCAACCGAATGAAACCGAACGTGTTCAGTTATGCATAGTATGACTAAAGGTTTATCACAAAACAGAAAACGTTTTCGCATTCCATTGTAATAAACGGGAAACGGGAAACAAGCGGTCTACTACTCATTTATGACAACAGATAAAATAAGTGTAAATATAAATATACGTTCAGTAGTACGGCAGGCGATGTGAGCAAACGCCAACTTGAGGAAGATATGAATGCGTAAACACGATCAAAAACCGCAACTTTGTGAACACCTTCTTCCAGGATGTATTCGGTTCTCACTATTTGAATTGACTCATAGTAGAGTAAGACTGATCGATTGTTTTCGAAATACACCTCTTTAGCTCATACTATTTAGTGAAACTCAACATATGATAACTTTTTCAGTCGGATGTGAGTCCAATGGTGGCTAATTAGTTCGATTGAAAGCAATGTTAGGATCAGTTGAGGGCTTCACATTTTATTATTCTTATTCAATTTCCTCAAGAACGAAACATGAACTAATTTCCTGAATGGTCTTTAAAAAGGATGTGGTAAATGTTAAGTTGGAAAAATAAACTATGTAACTTAGAGAACAAGTTTAAATGTTCATCTGTTTCAAATTATGGCCTTCGCATGAAAAGACAAGTGACAGCGTCGCAGCACATGTTGCGCCATTTTGCATCAGAACAAAAATGAATTGCAGCTGCCCTATTCAGGTATCTGAATGACAAGACATCTCACCAAAGGGTGTACAAAATGTGGTAATATTTAGTCGGTGGTGGTTAAGGACCGAGAGCTTTTGAGCTTGCACATGAAAAGCACCTATCGAATAGAGTTATTCATCTGTTGGATTGGGTGAGCGGATTACATACACCAGGACCGGATTTCGTGTATTTCGAAGGAGAATTTGCCGACGCAACGAATTCAGCACCAAGAATAATAGTTCGCACGTCAAATGTACCTTTCAACTACTGCATGCAATGCAGCATTTTCCCGTTGGTAGAGAAAGACGCAGGGATTATGAAAGCGGAACGTAAATATCAGGCCCACGTTCTCCTGGTTGGGATTCGAAATATCCTATAGTATACATTGAATGGCATAGGAGCAACATCGTTCTGTCAGTTCGGAGTGTTTGGAGGGATCTGTTGTCCACAGCGATTCACTTTCCTGTCTTCCCTAAGCATGTGTAGTCCCAATACACGGTACATATTTACATACACACGCATTATATATATATATATATATATATATATATATATATTACCGGATAAGCATGCCTGACGAGCGGCAAGAACCGCGGAACCGGTCGTATGCTTCCAGGGAAATTTTGTCCAGTCATTCACATACTACTTATTATTAAATATATATACTGACCATGTCGCCCTAGCAGGTACATATTGCTGTGCTATCAGAAAATACTTCTGGAACTTCACTAACGGAAACTCATAATGGCCTTGGGTCAGTGCCATCTACGTTTCGCTTTGATTATTCATACGGTTATTCACTTCAAGGAGCCTTCCGTTAACTGGAGACCGGCAAGCACAGTCAACTGGTCATTCATCTCTACTCTTTTTAAGAGCAGTCTCAAGTGGGGTACTGTGCTTGTGAATTTCTGTGAGTGCCGTGTTTGTACTCGTGGACTATGATTTCAACAATAACCCAATTCTAAGTTCATGTCCCACAGATCATCCACAACGCTATTGTGTCTGTCTTAGGTTTCGGTTTGATTCGCATATCCAACCAAACAGCGCGGTGAGCCAAATTGCCACTCGAACTACTGTTCATCGGGAAAATGCTAAATCTATCCACGACGTCAGGTTTCTACGTCCGACTGTTCAAAATTACACATAAAAATGTGTGCAAACCAATAAGAAATCTAGACTCCCCATGTGACACAAGTAAAACATTGCGAGAAAAAACGTGTAACTACGAGGTATTGGACATGGATGATGATGATGATCGGATATGAAAATTCTGCATGTTTCCGTGTATAAAAAGCAAAAAACCGTAGAAGGTGTAAAACAGTGAGAAAATTTAAAACTGTCTTTATGTTGGTGTGTTCACCGCTTTTGGTTTTGCATTCCATGACAACAGAGAGCCAATCTGTCCTGAAGGTGAGGTTTTAATAGATTTACATCTGATAGGTACTGCGCTTGTAAAACCAGGTCCTAGTCATAATCTAATCCAGCAATCCGGGAGAGGCTGCAGTGTTTTTTTCATTTTTGACCGACTGTGGTTAGACAGCCCAATGCCACTATCTTCCATTAGGACGAAAGTAAATTTCTCGCTGTAGGAAAAAAATGACAATTCGCATAATTCTTTTCCACACCGAGCCACCACACTGTGGAACAGTTATTTTTGTGAGTATTGCTAGCTCCCAGATAAATAGTTTCCAAATAAAAGTGTGAAAATGCTATCAAACAAGCAACTGTAGGCCTGTATTCGGTTGGTACAACATTCGATTTCAGTTTACACGAATTCTAGCCTTTCGATTTCCTGATATTTCTATTACTGTGAATTTTCATTCATCTTCAGGAATAATTCAACTACCAAGAAGAAGCTACAGAGCACAAAAGTCAGATATGAACTGAATGGGACCGGATGGACGGTGCAGTTTAACAAAGGTATTCCGAAAGGAGCGTCCTCCATTGGCTGCGTTACACCCTCGGGCTCCTCATCACATTGGAATTTATCACGTTTGTTTCATCAATATCTTGATGCTAAGCATGCCTAGGATCTATAATTATTCTCGTTAGTACATGTTCCGAATGGAAACTGTGAATTCTGTGCTTCCTGTTAATTATTTGCTTGGTGAAACTCATAAATTGTGCTTGGATAGAAAAACGTAGACGGGTCAGATGGCAGACTGCACTTATTTGCACCCCTCCTGCCATAATGACTGTGCCATCACTTGTCATCACTAACGTTCGCTCGCTATTTGCGAAGATCTCGCAATCTGGACGCACACATTAATTCCAACATGCGTTGCATGTGTACAAGAAACTTGGTTGAATCAAAAGTTGAGGACGTTCTCGTGCGAATAAAGGGCTTCGATCGCTGTCTGTAGGAGCGGAAGCCAAGTAGGAAAAAGAACTGGAGGTGGCATTGGAAACCTACACTGATGTTTCCTAGCGCGGCAAGTCACATGTGATATATAACTATTCTGAAAAATGCATTCACTATTTGTCCCTTCGTTGTCATCTTAAATTTTCTGGTCAAAAAAGTACAATCATCACGTGTATATATATCTCTTGCTTCTCCTCAGACGGAAATCTCTGCTTTCTTTGATTCCTATATACCCTTTCTAGTTCCAATATTAGATGAAAATCTTCACTTCAGTCGTGCAAATATTCCCAACTGCTTCCGTTTGGTCTATCTAACTTCCCTCATTATCCTACCAGAGGTAGTTCTGGGACGGACAGAATGATCACAAACTATTCCAACTTATTCTCTGTCAAACTAATGACCCCGGTTTCTACCAGTGACCATTGTATTCTTCTTTTTAGACCAAAGGTATACTCTCGCACTGCCTATCAAACAATCATACGTTCTAATCAGATACAATTTTATCAACGGCACTTTTCACTCAGCCGCATCTCTCTTCTCAACCGCTCTATTGCGATTGTTCGACTTTGGTCTGATTGTTGTCCATCACTTTTTAAATGTACCAGTCTGTTCATTGAAACGAGGAAATCGAACTTTCACTTGTGATGTCCCATGAAAACCCTATTTGCATGTAACGGAAGGATTACATCGTCCTTTTTTTAAATCATTGAAAAGGCACAAGAAAGGACCTCCAAATCTCGCCACGCATCAGTTGTAAAGCACTATTCTGACTTAATCAGGTCTGAGATAATGCATCTGAATGCAGTCTTCGTCGCCTAAATCCTGCAAACAAAGAGCACCGGGTTTTATGTTAAAGTATTCACTTTCTGTATGAGTAGAAAACAATCGAATACCCCGGTAGACGTCAAGAGCCTCAACGCCGCTTTCAGCCACCCGTCAAACGAGAGTCAACTTACCTCCCTCCCGTGCAATGAATCCAATTCAGTGCCTTTTTCCTTTCAGTTAGCATATAAACAAAACAGACCTACACTGAACGCCGTTTCCATTCTTATGCATTTTATCAGCTCGGCCAAGTCTGTCCGTTGTGCTCTTCTTGACGATTCATCTGCATTTGATTTTGTTTCTCGATCATCCCTTCGTTTAAAACCTTGACACTCCAAGATAGCTGCTCTCGTGGCTTTCTGACCATTTCACAGACAGGGTCTAGCGCATCAAATTGGGATGGAGGACATCAAACCCTCTTGATATTGATTTTGACGTTCTTCAAGGTGCTGTTCTATCTCCGTATCTTTTTTCTGCTTTTATTAGTGATCTTTCGCTCCCCCCCCCTCCTTGCACACATTTAAAAGTAGGCTAACGATTTAGTTTTGTGTTAGAAAATTTCATCTCCTTCGGAATTCGGTTCTTTCACTGAGAATCTATCTCACATCCAACAGTTTTTCAATCAATTCTGTTTCAGTATGAAGGTCTAAATGCCTAGAGCATGTCTTCAGTCTTTCGAGCTCCTTATTTCCAATGAACTCTGCTATCCTTAACTGTAAACTTGTGTCCAGAATTACCTAGGTGTTACTATCGACAGTAATCTTTGGTGGTCCATACACATTTACAGCTGTATGGTAAAACGGAGAAGCCTCTTTTTTCAGTTACGTAAACTGAGGCCATTACGAACCCCACAGTCAGCCCTATCCTCTTTCGTTCACCGATGTGTTTTCCCCATTCTACTCTACCGCTACCCTGTAGTGTTGCCCGGCCTTTTAAAACAAGACTTCAGAACCATATGTCGTGGTGTTTTTAGTGGTTTGTTCTCCGAGCCGGAAGTGTTGATAGCAGACTTTTCGTAGCCAGGCTAGTCACCATCATCAGTAAAACTTCGGGGCTACGAAACGTCTGCGAACAATACTTTCGGAACACACCACTAACAACATCTGCAGCCCGAGCTGCAATCGCTTCACATCATTTCCTTTCGTGGTGGTTTGGTGATAATCAATCGTGCATCATTAGTCTCAATCGATTCGTTAATCACAAAACTCATCAATAGTCAATATCAACTCTTGTGTGAAATTTGCCAATAAGATTCTAAACAACCCTATTTGTCCACTGCATCCCGATCCATCATCTTGTCATTCCTATCCGTCCACATGCTTCTCTTTTCAGCATCTACCCTCTTATAGTAAGATTTATACTAATTCCAATGCACCCTACCTGGTCCGACCCCTAAACAAAATGAAAAAGGTCTCAAGTGAATTAAGTCAGAATTTTTGTACATGAAACAAACTTCAGCGACATTCTTTACTTTTCATGTTACATGAAACTGTATGTTTTATTCCACCTGACGACCGGTGCATAATTTTAACAGAAATGTAAGCACATAAGCCTACAGAAGTTATAAAAATGCAAAAGATTTGCCGAAGAACAAAGATACAGTTGATGCACGCTTGACCAAACCTAACGTCTACCTGAGGTGTACAGGCACGTGTGACTGAACTTTAACAGTGTAGAGGCAGCCAGAAACTTTAAAGTGATAACGATTGTACAAGTTCCAGCTGTAATAAACTTGAATGCGCCGGATATGTAGGACCAATTATCCCGACTAGGGCAAATTGAATATAAATGAACAGAATATTGTATTAATCACGTGACCAATCAATATTTCTTGCAAGTTCAACCACCCTTGATGATCCTGCGCGACATGGGGGTACCGAAAATGAAAGGTTTTTACCACTATCACCGTTGTGAATGGAACATGACCAAAAACATAGAAAACGAACACTTTGCTAACTTTGAGCTCGTCCAATAGACGAGATTTCTCTTCCGCCACTAACGATTGATCATCCAGTATGGCCGCTTTTTCTGTCGACAGTTTTTCCATTTGTGCTTGCATGTAAGCCTCAATACCCTCCAGATCGTCCTCCGTTCCAGCCTCTTCGGCACTCATATCTTCACCAGCTTCGCCACCGCCAGCTTACGTACAGATATGGACAGAATGAGGTAAACAGACATCGGAATAAAAAAACGTTGAAATTATTTCATTAGATGACTTGTCAATGGATGCTTATCAATAAATCTTGCATGGTTATATGGCTCAAGGAGAAGAAAGACCACAGTTGATGTTCTTTTATGTACAAAATCGATCCCTGTGCTGCCCTCGAGGTTTTGCTGTCATAATAATTTTTGATTAACGTCAGCGGCGGATTCGACACCACATATCGTGTACTGTGAGAGGGATTGTAGGCAAATAGATGAAGATCGCGTTTAGTTTGCAATATGGGCATTTTTACTTGCTATCGACGTATCCTATGAGTGCAGTATGGCACATATTTTCATTTCGTTACTAACTTGTTCAAGGACACCTTTTAGTTAGCACGGGTTATTCTAACGTGACAGATTCCGATATCTGACACCTTGTTGATTTCTGAAATCAAGTTGATGGAAAGTTTTGTACATCATGTTCCATGATCCTCACCAAAGAGCAGAGATTAGCGTTTACTTTTAATTTACCGTATGATGTTTGCCCAAAGGCAGCATACTCCGATAAGTATCAAGGAAAAGGAGTAAAATAGAAAATCCGAAGTTACAGCTTTGATGATATCATCCATTTCAGATAATTTTGCCACCGAATTAGAATAAAAACGGCATTTTAACATTACTGGTGGTATTTCCAATTCAATAACTCGTCTACTACCGTGAAGAAGTACCCGATGGTCGATTGAGAAGTAACTCACTGAAAACACATGTTCGCCCACGATCTGTGTTCGGATTACGACAATGTGCTTATTTTGTGATTTCATTTTATTTTATTGATGACCAAGCAGTAAAATATATTTACAACACAATATCATGAAATATAGTTGTTCAGAATTGCTATCCTATGATCCAACATAATTTCAAAATAACTGATTTAACTGGATTTGAACATTCCAGTTGTTTAACGCCTTGTACCCTTCTGAGGAACCACTTAGACACATATGTGAACAAGTTGGAAATACGAAGAGATATAGTTGATATGTATCGCATCAGGTAATAAGAAAAATAGAAAGATTAATGAAATAGTAGAAGACTGAAGTTCATGTTAGGTTAAAATGTTCCATATGTTGGTCAGGTTGACAAAAAACAGTTGCATCTAATTCGAGAAAATCAACGGAGAGACTCAAAGCACAGATTTAACAGTATACGCCTTAAAAAGTACTTGGGTATCAATGCAACTTAACGGGAGAAATAAATGACGACAGTACCAGTGCAAAAATGATGTGACAGAGCATTATGGCATGTACGTTCAGAAACTGCATAAGTAAGGTAAGCTCAGAGTGATGGAACGTTTATGCTTAGATGTTGATTCAAATCTGGACTCACTATCGAACAATGATTTGTGTGACTGAATGGAGAACAAGGGTGCCTTATCAAGCACCGACCCTTTCATCAATTTCATGTTCGATAGGAGTCGGGCAAATGTTATGTGATGGGTATCGATTTGGACATGCCCACTGAACAAATTAGACGAACCGAATAACCATCTTCCATGGGGGATTACTCCTCCAACTTTTTGTTTATCTTCCGACAGATGTACTCATAACAGTTCACTATGTTATCAGCTTTTGCGGTTAGTGCAGATAAACCCACATGCCCCTAAAAACTAACCAACGGAAAGACCTGTAATAACATGTTATTTTGAATGGTTGAACTCTCTTCCCCCATCAGATACAGGTCGTTCGATAGATTCTTATCTGTCGGTGCCTCGTTTAGGAAGAACATAAGTCAGTGAACTGGAGCAGGCCGGCTGTAGTAATCAAAACGATTTACAGAATTAACGGATGANTAAACATTAGGTCTGTCAATACTGGCAAGGTCGATCGCGAGGTTAGTCAGGCACGTGATATCCGATTTGAGTAAGCTGCGACATGATTTGAACTATCATCACACAGATCGTATAAATACACAGTAGAAGAAGCTGGTTGATGGGAATGCGTAACAAATAGAGTGGCCAACCACGTACGATCAGTGCTGTCTAGGCGGATATTGCAACCGCAGAAATTCCATCAAAAGTTGAACGTATATATATAATGCATACACTACATATTACATATATATACGTATATGTATATATATTCTGCATGTGCAAACCCACCGCGGGTTTTTTTCCTTCGACCGGATTTTCCTGGACCACGTGGAATCCCAGCGCTTTTTGCTTTGAGTAACGATTTCAGTCGTTCAATCTCACTCTGATATTCCCTTAACAGTGCATCTTTGGGATCTTCATTGATTTTCGGCTTGTTTTTGATATTCTTGGCACGATTTGCGTAACGAAGCGTGTTCAACGTTTCATCATAATTGTAGGAGGCAGGACCGATATTGGCAACCATGACTGTCTTTGCATTCCCTCCAAGCGAGTCTGGTTAGTAGAGCGAATAATCAAGACAATTTGAGCATAATTATCACAAGCAATGTTTTTATCACACACCCTTGTTTTATGTCACTTTTGCCAACACCTACATGAAGCATTTTGAAATTCAGTGTGCCTGTATTTTATATTGTTCCTATATTGAGTTCATACGTGGATTGGGACTGTGACTTAGCAAAGCCGATTTTATTCGGAATTGTATTTCGAGGGTAGGAAATACGTTGAAGGCATTCCTTGTTCTGGATAATGACGAAAAAGTACATGTTACAGCTCACTCAACGGGTGGAAAACGTTAGTAGTTTGAGTGATGCTCCGTAATTTGGCATGGAGGAAAATGAAAAATATGATTGCCATGTGTACAAAACCCGGAAAGTCGGTGTTACCGTATAGCTCAATTTAACACCTTTACTTTACAGAAACTTGAGAACGTAACAGGTTCAACAAGGAAAAATAACTATCTGTACTGACTGATGACTCAGTATAAGGAAGATGGTCACAAAATTCAGACCAAGTAAATTTATCTGGAGGTTTTCGAAAAATCCAAACTGATAAACATTGGACAACCAGGGAATACGAAATTGGTCTCTCAGACAGCTAAGGGACAAGGTCTAAGTATTAGATCCAACTAAATAGTTAAGGTCTTAAAGTTTCTGAAATTCATACGGTTGAGCATTAGAGTTTACGATGTTAAGTGGGTGATACAAACGAAATTGTAATTCGAAGCGATACCCTGGATGACTGAAAAGCATTTCGTAGATCAAATCTACTGGATAAGAAAACATCTCGCATGGAAGATTGGACGGAGTCATGTGATATTTGATCATGACAGCCACGGTGCTGTCGTCGTTTGGAGCGAGCTAGTTTAGTGGATGACCCCATGTTCATAGAACAAGGATTAACTGTACCAAAATTCATGATCCCTGGTATAGATATTCGTGAAACTGGGTGCGTTTTAAGGATTCCTTGCACTATAGTTCAATGGTATCAGCAAGATTATTCCCTACAATTTTGTCAATAATGTCAATCACACAAGAGTATATCATAGAATTGTATAATCATCGTTTGGAGGNCCGGTCGACCATTAAAGGTGACCTTTCAGAATGTTTTACTTGAACATGGGAGAAATCATTTCTATATAGACATATCTATCGACTGAACCGAGAATCGATCCCGAGACCTTGAAAGCAGGACGAGGGCAAACTATTCACATTAGTATTAAGACGTCTTTCCTGTTAATATGAGACCAACAACTTTTGTAAACTAATTGTCACACATCTTTCCAAATCATCCTAAACATCCACAAATGCTGTGTACAGAACCTTAATTAGATTGAGCGATGCACAGCTATCAAACAGGCTGAAAAAAGTGGTGCAGCAAATTCCTTTGGAAATAAGCATTAAATCATCTATCATCCATATGTGCACCGTACTTTTCTCACCCTCTATAGTAGGCAGCTGCAATAAGCTGACATAAATATCACCCTACCTAGTTGATTTAGATGGACAAATATGATTGGGTGAGAGCATTAATCGCATGTTATTGGCAGAAAAATGAGTCACAAAGTAAACGCAAGACAAGGCGTGTTTGACGGTGGTCGACATGTTATCGTATACAAATACAAAAGATTAATTCTTATATACTTACTAGTTCTGATGAATCCAGATCAAAAAGCGAAATACATCTCATAAACCTGCCCCTTCACAACCTTCCAGAAAGCAAAAATGTCGCTAGATCAAATTGTTTAAACAAATGAAATGAATGATGGGAAAATTGAAAATTCGTAAATGACTCTATCTTCTCAAAAAACAGAGCTGAATATATACCCCTATATAGGAATCCAAGGCATTCGATCCACAAAACGCATCATAGACTTATTTTAATTATTCTTTGCGAACAACTCTTCCCAGAATAATTTCCAGGGTTGCAAGCGATTTCATACCGCGAATGGAATTACAAAATGACTAATCAAGATGGCTTTCGACAGAAATACATGACGAGCGATATCTACTTCGAAATCGGTCCTGTACTTCCATGGAAATTTATTTCATCGTTGGGTAACCACAGAATACGATACAAATAGGGGATACATCATTCTGAAGAGCTTTTCTTCAAAACAGGGCAATAATCTTTTAATAATAACGATGATAATAACAAGATGAACTGAGAAACTCCATGAAGTCGCTGCGAGAAAATTCAAATGCTCTGTTCTAACCTTGTAATAGACGAGTCAATTTAGAATCTCTATACGGAATGTGCGTACTCTTCCCGTCAACCAAGGCGGATATCACATTGCCTAAGGTGGACAGGCTCAGGTTGATTTTTGTCGCTTCTCGCAATCTCTCCCCCTGAAATAGAGATAGATAGAAATACAGTTAAATAGCACAGCGTACTCCATTTTGAGTTGCTCTGATCCCCTAAGAACTTTGAACAATTGCACCAATGAACCACAGACATTTGAGTAAGAAGTCACGTGACAATATCAGGCGAAATCCAAAACTGATCTCGTATGAAACAGGTGGTCAGCGTGGTAGTAGAGAATACGGATTCCGAAGCGTTTGTGTGTAAATTTCGAAAAACTATGCGAAATATGTTATCCTCAAATTATACATTATAACAAACTGGACGCGACAACTGATGACGTCGTCCAGGTATTGAAGAGATGTTGTACTTGGAACATAGATTTATTCAAATCGATCGATTATAAACAGTGAACCAAAACAGGCTATTTTGAACAGTAACAACGCAAACATGTGTGACCTTAATCAATCACTTCAGGGTTCACATATCAATTGTATGCCAGCTTCATGGACTTAGTCGTCTGCAGACCATATTCTGGCTATTCGACACCAGAAGTTCAAAAATTATTTCCATTGTGACATTACTGTATGCCTAGTTTACGTGCCGATGGACAACTATCGTAAATTCTTGACTTGAATTGCCTGTCCTCAGCTCATCTATGACCACTAGCCATTTCTCTTATGTATATGATCTATGTATAATGTAAATGATTGGCCAACATAAACGAGTACAGCTGTGACGTATTTTGCAGACCCGGAATATCCGGCGAACAAAATTCCGCACCCGAGGGTTCGCCGGGACTAAGACAGGCTAACCGCGGGAAGCAGATGGGGCCTTCCTCTGTGTGTTACACCAACANCAGTATTAAAGCTCAGTGGGGTGAACTGGGGGCTCGAATCCGAGATTCGGTGATCACAGCGATCACGGAAACATGGCTTTCCAACGGACATGTCACTAACTACTCCAGTAACTACGCCGTCTTCAGGAAGGAACAATAAGATGGCAGACAAGGTGATGGTGTGTTGTTGTTGTTGACCAAAGCTAATATCAACCCATGGAATGCACGAGACACCCTAGATACACTCATATCCAATCGACAGCATGCAACGTGCTCTCAGGCAAAATACTCTGTAAACTGTGTATACAGAGCAGCGCAGGTTAACTTGGTTGAATACATTGAATTGCTTGAAGTTATGCAAAGGTTCCTTTCGAAGTCCCAGAGGGTCCTAATAGTTGAAGAAGTCACCCTCCCAGAGATCGGCTGGATGAAAGCACATGCCCCTAGCGAATTTACAGGTGAAACTCTCATAGAGTGGATACACTCTCACGCGTTGACACAACACGTTATGCAGACCGCACCATTCAGAGATTAACAGAGACCCTCCATTTTAGACCTAATAATAACAAGGTACGCGTCGGACCTAAGAGAAATAGAAGAACCACTAGGTAAAAGTGATCATCTGGTATTGAGATTTCTGCTGACGGTAAAGCACAGAATGCTGGATGCCTCAATGGTACGGTATTGAAGCTGTAAAATTCAGGTGGCCTTGCGTGCAGTAGCGAAGCAGGTAATCTGGATACTAGAACCCTGGAGCCGACAGTATAAGGGAGATGGACTAATATCAAAGAAGATGGATATGTCGACTGACGGATGAGTTTGCGCCGTTAAGCCACATGTGTGGAAAGCACAGGCTAGTTTGGTTAAGACCAGAACTAGGGCACTGGAAGTGCACAGATGTTGGGCAAACTATAGAAAAAATGGCAAAAATATTTGTTATTCCATTCATGTACTATTTTCCATTTTATCTGCTTCACCTTCCTTTCACTCTGTCGTGTATCCCAACCCACCTATCCCCTGTGATTGTTTGTTATTATTGTTGGGATATCGGCTCTATGCTTGTCTGTAAGTCAGTGTTATATATATATATATATATCAGACATTTACAAAAGGAATTCGGTGCAGCACCTTAAGCACAGTCCCAAAAGGTTTTATGCCAACGTGCAAGCCAATAAAAACAAAACAAAGTGTGGGCCCTTGGAGATGAGTGGAGTGAGATGCTGAGGAGTACACTGAACCACTAGATATACAGATGATCAAAAAAATAGTAATCAACGAGATCGGTTCAGCCGGAGAGCTTGTATCATTTAATCGACATAAAGCTACAGGACTGGAACATATCCTGCGATAGTTCAGCCACTAGCAGGGGTTTTTGTAGATCCAGTAACCAGCTTATTCGAGCAATTGCTAAGGACGGGAGTATTATCGGAGGACTGTCTAAGAACAACGGTTGTTGCACTGTACAAGTTAGGACCTAGACATAGGGTAAGCAAATACCGACCGGTTAATCTGACATCTGTTCTGTGAAAATTATTGGAGCGGATCGTCAGGGGCAAATACGTAGGCATCCAACCAACCCAAATTTTTGGATGAGGTTACTAAAAGGCTGGACGAAGGTTTACAGGTGGAAGTCTTTTGCCTGGACTTCTACAAAGCCTTCGATGTAGTGAACCACATGCTTCTAGACCGCAAGCTACAGGATGTAAGGATACGGAGTGATGCAAGAAATTGGACTGTGCAGTTTCTCAGTCATCGCATGTTCTGTGTGAAAGTTGGCGATTTTCTGAGAGAACCTGCAAAGGTAACCATCGGGGTGCCTCAAGGATCACAAATAGGACCGCTACTCCTTCCGATTTATATCAACGACTTGACATAGGATCTCCGAAACCGCTGTTTTATGTTCGCAGACGATGCACGTCGTAAAAAAGGTTAAACAATGATCGATGAAATGTTGCCACTAAACCTCAAAAGGCGTCAACTTGTGACGGCAAGAGCTGACACGGCCCCGGACAGACAGCTGTCACAGAAAAACGCAGAGATAGTAAAGGACTTAGGAGGTATTCTCACTAAAAGCCGGAAACACAATGCCTGAAGGCAGTAAATAAGGCCTGTGGTAAATTTTTCAGGTTGTGTGCGAACGTTACCTGTAGAAACTCAGGAGTCCCTGTGCCTATTTATAAGACAATTAATTGTTCGCCCGTACTTAGAATGTTGTGTTCAGACATAGTCCCCATACTATAGAAAGGATATTTGGTGCTTGGAGAAGGTTCACCGTCTTGCCACCCGAAAGGTACCTGGACAAAACGGACAAATCTATGAACAGTGAATAAGAAATCTTTATTTCTTCGCGCTGGAACGTAGTGAGAGGGCTCAAAGCCGACCACTTGTTCACGATTTCTCGTGCTCAAAACACGAGGCTTGGACCTAATCCGGTAGAAGCATTTTTCAGTTTAAAGATGGCAGAGGACGGAAGAATAGTACAAGTCGTTAGAATATGGTCTGTAAACGTACGAAAATCTGAACCTTGTAGGACTTTGTATAATCATAAAACTTAGATTGTAATGTATCGTTTAATTGTGCTTCCTCTCGGTTACAAAGTGGTATAAATAAACAAAAAGCGAAGTTCCGTACCACATCAAGGATATGGACTGCCGGCTAACTTGGCGTGTGGAGAGAATGAGCATCATGATTTGCGACACTCAAAAATATCGCCATTGATGTACTGGGATCCCCAATCGGGAGGTCTTATGCGGACTATATGACGAAGTTGCCTGGGAAAAGTTTCATGTGAGTGAATAATTCCGATAGATTCATTAGAAAACAGAGATGTGGTGAACAAGCTTGGTTTCAGTGCTTTATCTACTGGCCAATTACAGCACAACATATAACTCGGAAATAACACAGGGGGCGAACGCCACAATTCGTTTTCTTGATGGGTGTATCGTGAAACATATCTACCCGAAACGTTTCTGCAGTGTACTTCGTCGCAATCACATTAAACTTTCACGTCTAGCCTTCCATCGCCTTACGCTGAACGAAAGAAACTCGTGGGTTTCTCGCAAGGGTGAACTAGAGCAGAGACTGACAATATGCACGGAAGCGCTACGTAACTTGACCAATGATGAGACCCACTGTTTTATGTCTTATGCGGAACAAATTGAGAACCAGCAAACTCGCAAGCGTGAAATGAAGCTGCACAGTCAACGCCTAATTGGTGAGATTGAGAACAAATTCCCAAAGGATCCTGAGCGGTATGTCTATAATCTTTCTGCTTTGAATTTGGATAAGGCCACGTTAGAACTACTGCCATTGGGACCTAAATCTTCCTGTTCACCACGCAGTGTAAAGCAACTCGATATTGAAGTTCAGTTTGAAAACCTATCTAGCCAACTGTTGGGTATGGTATCGTCATCCGGTGTCAATGAGGAAAAGATGAAATCCACCTTTGTACAATCATGCTATCAGTATTGGAGTCAACAACACGATGGGAAAAGTATCTTATCTAAGAGGTAATTTGATGCGCTGCGAGAACTAAGAGGGAACCCAGATATCATCTTATCAAAACCAGATAAAGGTACAGGTATCGTTATTATGAATCGAAAGGATTACGTGGATAAAATGAACGTTCAACTTCTTGATGGTACCAAATTTTCACGCACCACAGGTGAAAAAGACAAAACTGCAGCTATTGAGAAGTCAATATCAAAGACGCTTAGAGAACGGAAGCAAGACGGAATCATTGATTGTTCCACGTTTGACAGAGTCCGACCGGTGGGAACGACCATTCCTAGATTGTATGGATTACCAAAGGTACACAAACAAGGCTGCCCACTAAGACCGATCTTGGATATGTGCAATTCGCCTTATCACGCGGTGACAAAGAGGCTAGCCAAACTAGTTGGGCCAGTAAGGAGAGAATTGGCAAAATACTCTCTGAGGGATTCATTTGAATTTGTGGACTTGATAGAATCTTTTAACGCAAACAACAGGCGTATATTTTCGCTGGATGTTACTTCACTATTCACCAATGTTCCCTTAAAGGAAATAATTGATTTTGTGTGTGAATACATTGGAAGAAAACATGAATATTGAAATTCCAGTGGATCGCCTAAGGAAGCTCCTTCTGCAATGTACTTTCAATGTTCAGTTTCAGTTCAACGGTTGCCTGTATCGTCAAAAAGATGGAATCGCTATGGGCTCACCATTAGGCCCCTTATTGGCAGACATATTTATGGACAAGTTGGAGAATAAGACATTTTCCACCTATATCGAGCAGTGTGTCCTATACAGGCGTTATGTTGATGATATTTGTGTTATTGACAATTCACGGAATCCCTCAATGTTTTTGGACAGTTCCAATCGAGCTCTTCCTAATATAGATTTCACGGTAGAGATGGAATCCGCTCAGGGAATGGCGTTTCTTGATATGTACCTGTCACACCGCGAAGATGACTCCATTGAACGAAGTATATGCAGAAGGAATACGTGGACAGGACAATTTATCAATTTTCATAGTTTTTTCCCGATGCAGCGTAAGCGCAGCCTAATCCAGTGCATCGCCAATCGTGTAAGAAGAATTTGTTCTACCGACATAGTGAATGATGAATTGGCAACAGTTAAGTCAACGTTCCTAAAAAATGGATACTCAGGGGAATTTGTCGATCGTTGTATGAGATCTTACATTGCGAAATCAAAGTACCCAACAGTGGAGAAGAAAAAGGTTTACATTTCATTGCCTTTCAAATGTGACACTCTTGCAAGGACAAGAGCAAACGAATGAGGAATGTAGCAGAAAATAGTTATTTCTCAACAGAATTGCGCATATTCTACTCTTCCAAATCAGCTCTCCCATTACAGATGAAGGACAGGCTACCGATGGAGATGAACTCTTTCTGTGTTTACCAGTTTACTTGCTCCTGTGGCGCAAGTAACTTAGGTCGCACCACCGACTGGATGAGGGAACACCACCCAGCTTGGCTCAGTCGGGGACCGATAAAGGTAGGTGCGAGTGCGGTTGCTATACACCTGGCCGAGACGAATCATATTGTCGATGTGCGGGACTAGTTCCGTCCGATGTATTTACTGACAGCGATCCGGTCTAAGGATGTGAAAACTCGATTGTTATCTACAGCAGAGACGATAGCAATTAGAATAAACAAACCCCCATCATGAGCACACAAACAGTTCGTTAAATCGCTTACCCTCCCATGGCCGTGTGTCCAAAGTGCCCCCACGTAACACTTCAGTCGAATATTCACACTCCGCAAGGGGTTACCACCAATCATGCGGTCAGTGTTAATACATATCCCTCTCTCTCAACCCCTGAACGTCCATTTTACAGAGTCAATCTCGATCAAATTGAAAACCAGCCCAAAAATCCTCACAATAAGTCAAACCGACAGTTGAAAACCACCGCGTGCCCTAAACATTGACCTTAATTCACCTATAGACTCTGATTACGCATCTAACCTTTCTCATACTCCATGCTTTTGTCCTAGTAACAGTCACTGCTTTATTAACATTTTCCTCAAAATTGTCAAGAGACCGATCGAAATTGGAGAATGTAAATGAAAAGTTGAGTCAAAGGACCTGAGCTCAATTAAAATCCTCTTTCACTGTTATATCATAAACCGGACTCCTACTTTCGAGGTTTTAGCAAAAGAATGGATCGCCAATTAACAAACGCTCAATAAATTTCAAGGATCCGTTTTTTCCACCTAACACAGTTGATTGCGGTCAACTCAAGGTAAGCTGGATTGTTATTATTCGTATTTTATACACCTCTGGTTTCCATCTGTGTGGCAAGCAAACGAAAGCACCAGAATCCTCAGGAAGTATGGCTGGTTCATAATTTGGTCATGGATGCAACATTGTTAGGTGGAATGTGATTTCCATGAGGATTCACCTCTGGAGTCTTCTTCTAATCAAGACGTGACATGAGAGGTAGCGGAGCGATGTCTCGAGACCGCAATCCAATAGGGATCCATGCCATATTGGTCCAAGCGTAGATGGTTTGGACGTTTTTTTATTGGTCAGGGAGCACAAAACACTATCAGTCCATAAAGGTTGATAGCTTTTTCGATCAGGGTATCGCAGACTCGGTTTGCATGCCTTTTTATGAAATGAGAGTTCTGAAAATCCTACGGGTGAGCTACATTCCTGCATTTATAGGCCCAATTTCAAAATTTCCACTCTTATGCCACACGCCACTAAAAGACAGCGAAAAGGGTTTTCCACTTCATGCTTTAGTAAACATACTCCTTGCGAGGATTCCTCGGAGCGAGACTTCATCCTCGCCCACACTCGGAGGAACTGAACCGTTTTGAAGGCTCCTATTCAAAAAGAAACCTGTCCTCCAAATGGGCAACGAAGCATCGAGACAACACTTAAGCCTCTAATGTGAGTTTAAAAAACCTTTCTTTTCTGATTGCCTGAAGTTCCGCCACATAAAACCATGAATATGATTATTCATATACATGAGATCTTTAATGCCCCCAAGGAGTGAAACTCTTGCCCAAGAACATCAGGAGTACCTGGTGCCTCCGAAAATTCGAAAAGACTAATTCAAGCACATTACTTTGAATCATCCATCCCATCAAATTTTCAATGATACTCTTACTACTAACTATTTCGCAGTAATGTAACTCTATTTTTGTCATATAGCAACTCCGTTCTCACTTATGGTTATCCCATCAGCAATGGCGAGCCACTTTGGGATATACAGCTGTCTCGTTATTTTATCAAATACTGGTTTCTCCTTATCAAGCTACACTGTATAAATGCCCAAACCACCACTTTCTCCTTTCCAGCTCCAATGTGTCTTGTAAACCTGATTGTCCTACCGGAATGCATGGATATCTCACGAATATTTGCATCGACTCGTGACCGCTGAATTGCCATTAGTGAATTAAAATTATTTTGTAACATGGTGACCAATGAATGGCTTAAACTAACTGTTCCTATGACAGCTTCGTAATCCTGAGTAATTCTAAACTGCCACTTTGATCTCTTGTTTACAAATAATTCATCTTATCCCAGTGAGTCACAGTAACTAATCTACTCTCGCAAGAAACACGTGCCGAAACACTGACCTTGGATGGATTGACCAAACACATAAGGTAAGCAATCCACCGATTTGGACAGGGTTTCACTGAGGCAACGCATAACAACCAGTCACTAATGAGTCTTACTTTCAAAATTGGCTCGCGAATAAAATATGATTGCAGAGCCCCGGGGTTAACCAAGATTTTACATTGCGTTTGATCTCAGATGGGAATGATCAAAAATGACAGCTGTAATTTGCAAATGATAGTTTAACCATTGCAACTTAAGGTGTCTGGTTCTTTTACTCAATGTTCTATCACAAGTACGACCA